TGGCTGAGGCGCGGAAGCGGCTCCGGAGGGAGCTAGACTGGGTGAGAGCCACGCGTTAGCCTGCCAGGTCCAGACAGCTCCCCGCTCCGGAGTCAATCTTCCGGTCTCCCGGACGGCCAGCCGCAACTCCGCTCCGCCCGTGCTCGCGGCTCGAACCCCGACCGGGGCCTCTCGGGTGTCCGCGCGCCTGCGCAGCGAGGCCCCCTTCAGGACCCGGGAGCTGTCAGGCGGAGCGGGCGGGCGAAGCAGAGGCAGGCCTAGCCGGGCTCCATCCCCTCCTGGCTGGCAGTGGACCGCGGGTAGCGCGGGCCTGCGGGGAAAGACGTGTCCCAGGGCGGAGGCGTGAGAGAGCGAGTGCCGAGAGCTGCGGGCCCCATCTGCCGGGGGAAGAAAGGGTTTGCATGGAAAGATGCTCTGAGCCTCCTTGAGGCCCGGCTTCCATCCAAGTTCGGTAGCGTTGATACCCACCCCATCCACCCCCCCGACACACACACCGGCCCTGAACCGGCTGGTAAAATGGTCAGAGCACAGCTTCGCGCCTCGGGAAGCCTCAGGTGCGGTGGGGTGCCGCGTAGTAGTGAACTTAACGGTCTAGCCCAGCCGTGGGAGGTCTGGAATTATAGCTGGGACGTGGGGCACTGAGAACTCTGTGCGGCCCTTCTCTTTATTTCTCAGAGTTCCATCTGCCCGGGGTGAAAGGAAGGTGTGTCTCATGATGTGTAACAGGAAAGCTTGCACTAGTGTTTTTGGAATGTAGACACAGGCAAAGTGGGTGTGAAGCAATGACTTAGAGCAGGAAGAGCATCCAGATCTCGGTTGATTTTTGGTTCTGTCAATCATTAATCATTTAATTGTGACCTAGGGCAAGTGAATTACTTTTTCTGTACATCAGTGCCAGTGTCTGTAAAATGGAGCAAATGAGGTTAGGTGGAGAGGATGATTTTTAGTTGGTCCTAATAAAACTGTTAGCACAGTGCTAGATGAAAGTGCTTTTGTTTCCCCTGTTCAGTGACTGGCTTGCCCAAGTATTAAGTTGACTACCTAAAAGAATGATAAAGGTCTCTAAAACTCACAGTTGAGTAGTACGTTAAAAAGGTTGTTGTTGTTGTTGTTGTTGTTGTTGTTTTTCCCTGCAAAGGGCTAATCACCTTTGGCAGTATTTATAATGGGCTGAAAGTGGTGTAAGACTTGCCATTTCCTGGAGCTAGGGAGATGATGGCTCAGTGGGTAGTGTTTGCTGCTCCATGTATGGGGATCTGAGTTTGGGTCCCTGGAACACATGTCAATAGTGGGAGTGTCCTCTGATCACTTTAATCCACTGAGCCATCAAAAAACTTGGATTTTGGGATATTTTGGGTCTTGAACTTTTGGATTGGGGTACACAAATATAAACATAATTACATCATTGACTGATTTTAATTTTTGTCTAGGATTCCACTGTGAAGAAACAAGCTTTGTTTTCATTGCACTTTGTGAAACTTACATTTTCTAATGTAGTTTAAGTCCGTTTTGTCACATTATTCATCCTATACAGATGATGAGGACTCTGGTCGCCATCCTAGCATAAAAATGTGTCTTTGGCTGGGCGTGGTGGTGCATGCCTGTAGTCCCAGCACTTGGGAGGCAG